TCGGGTCTGACTCGACGGCACATAACAACAACAACAACAACAACATATCTATATATGCACACAGGTGTACTCCCATATGATCTCCCACACCTACTTAGGATACATATCCACTTGTGTATCCACTCACAAATTGTTGTTGTTGTTATGTGCTGTTTTCCGTTTTCTCCCCTTATTTCTTTTTTGATCAGTGTTACTATTGTCAAAGTGAGATGTGGTTGTAGTTTCTCTTGTAGTTTTTTTTTTTTTTTTTTTAAAAACCTTTTTATTGTAGTTTTTGTAAAAGTTTACAGAGCAAATTTGTTTTCTCTCACTGTAGCTTTGATTTGCATCTCTCTAATGGCTCATGGTGAAAAACAAGGTTCCAGGAACTGGCAGAATACCAACTGAGATGTTTTAACAAACAGATGAAACGCTGGAAGCCCTCACTCATCTATGCCAAGAAATTTGGAAGATAGCTATCTGGTCAACCGACTGGAAGAGATTTATATCTGCATCCATCCCAAAGAAAGGTGGTCCAAAATAATATGGAAATTATCACACAGTATCATTAATATCACATGCAAGTAAAATTAAGCTTAAGATTTCCCAAAACTGGTTGCAGCAGCACATCTATAGGGAACTGCCAGAAATTCAAGCTGGATTCAGAAGAGGGCATAGAATGAGGGACATCATTGCTGATGTCAGATGGATCTTGGCTGAAAGCAAAGAATACCAGAAAGATGTTTGCCCATGCTTTATTGACTATGCAAAGGCATTCAACTGTGTGGATCATAACAAATTATGGATAATGTTGAGAATCAGAATTCCGGAATACTTCACTGTGCTCGTGAGGAACCTGTACATGGACCAAGAGGCAGCCATTTGAACAGAACAAGGGGATACTGTGTGGTTTAAAATCATGAAAGGTGTGTATCGGAGTCATATCCTTTCACCATACTTATTCAATCTGTATGCTGAGTGAATAACCTGAGAAGCTGGTCTATATGAAGAACAATCAGGATTGGAGGAAGACTCATTAACCAACTGCAATATGCTGAATTTTGCATATTGCAATATGCAATAACCACACTTACTTGCTGAAAGTGAAGAAGACTTGAAACACTTACTGAGGAAGATCAAATACTACAAGCTTTTAGTATGGATTATACCTCAACATAAACAAAATAAAAATCCTCACAACTGGACCAGTAAGGAGGAACATCATGATAAATGGAGAAAAGATTGCAGTTGTCAAGAATTTCATTTTACTTGGATCCACAATCAATGATCACAGAAGCAGCAGTCAAGAAATTAAACAATATATTACATTAGGTAAATCTGCTGCAAAAGACCTCTAAAGTATTCCAAAGCAAATATGTCACCTTGAGAACTAAGGTGGCCTGGACACAAGCCATGGTATTTTCAATTGCCTCATTGCATGCAAAGCTGGACAATAAATACAAAGACCAAAGAATTGATGCATTTCAGTTATAGTGTTGGCAAAAGATATTGAATATACTGTGGACTGCTGCTAACCAGAAGGCTGGCGGTTCAAACCCACCAGCCACTCCTCGGAAAGAAGGTCGGGCAATATACTTCTGTAGTGATGCTGCCTCGGAAACCCAAGGAGGGGTTGCTATGAGTTGGGGCCGACTCGATGGCACATAACAACAGCCAGGAAAGGAAAGAAATCTGTCTTGAAAGAAGTACAGCCAGAATGTGAGGATGGGGAGACTTCATTTCACATACTTTAGACATGTTATCAGGAGGGACCAGTCCCTGGAGAAGGACATCATGTTTGGTACTCTATAAGGCCGGTGAAAAAGAGGAAGATCCTCAATAAGACGGAGTTACACAGTGGCTGCAACAACGGGCTCAAACATAGCAACAATTACGACAATGGCGCAGGACTGGGCAGTGTCTCGTTCTGTTACACATACGATCTGGCACCAGCAACAACGGCTAGTGATCACAGCATCTCTTCATGTGTTTGTCAGCTGCCTGAATGTCTTCTTTGGTGAAGTGTTCATCTCCTTTGTTCATTTTTTAACTGGATTGTTCATCTTTTTGTTCTTGAGATGAAGTTTTCTACACATTTTAGAGATTAGAACCTTGTCAGACACATCATTGCCAAAACTTTTCCTAGTCTGTAGGCTCTCTTTTTACTCTTTCTGTGAAGTTTTTTGAGGAGCATTAATTATTTAAGAGGTCCCAGTTATACAGTTTATCTTCTGCCGTTTGTGCATGTTTAGTTATGTTAGACATTCTATTTATGTCATAGATTAGGATCTCTAGTTTATCCCTATTTTTTTCCTCTATGAACTTTACAGTTTTAGTTTAAGAATTAGGTCTTTGATCCATTTTGAATTAGTTTTTGTGTACGGTGTGAGGTTTGAATTCTGTTTCACTTTTCTGCACATGGATATAGTTTTGCCAGCACCATTTGTTAAAGAGACTATGTCTTCTACATTAAATGGACATGGACCCTTTGTCGAAGATCAGCCATCCATAGCTGGATGGATTATTTCTGCGTTCTCAGTTCTGTTCCATTGATCTGTGTCTGCGGTTTTTCCAGTGCCAGGCTGTTTTGAGTACCAAAGCTGTGCAGTGGGTTCTGAGGGTGGGAAGTGTGAGGTCTCTGGCTTTGCTCTTCGTGTTCAATTAGTGCATTACATTATTTTTTTAATCCTTGGAAAATGCTCTTATTTTCATAAATCAGTTCAAACTCCTGAAACAGGAACTAAAATTCCAAAGGAGGAAAATTGTATTGTAGCTAGTAATAACACTAAAAATTGCAATTTCTACAGGGAAAAATAACCTCACAGAGATTTTTCTACTGCCTCTGGGAGGAAAACACAAAGAAATTCATGGTGCAAACAACGATGCTATCAAACAGCTAGTTTTAAGAATTTAAATTAATCTGATATTAGAAGTTTAGAGATGTAGCTGCCATCATTTCCAAATGAATATACATTTCCAGAAAATTGTATTATATGCTTGACTGATACTTGTTATTTCTGAATAACCTACTACTGGAATCCACACATAGAATAAACTGATTACTTCTGCTTTCCTCATTGCAGCTGAATTTAAAGAGGGAGATTCTTCATTTAAGCAACACATTAGATTTAAGAAAAACTTCCTTTAATATAAATCCACAGATAAAGTTCCTAAGGATGCCCCAGAAAAGAAACTTTTTTTAAAAAAGATAAGCATAGCTATTATAATTTACCCTAGAGGTTTAATAATTTGGGGTAGAACTTAACAAGGGAAGTTAGGGTCTAAAAAAACCATTCTTTGCTGTCTAACTTACCTGCTTTATATGAAGAACGCACCAGGGGGCCACTTGCAGTATAATGAAAGCCAAGTTCATTTCCTACTTTTTCCCAGAATTTAAACTTTTCAGGAGTAATGTATTCTTCAACCTAGATTTTAAAAATTACTTCTGATCAGATTCCAGAATTCACTTATATCATTTTGATTCTACAGACAATCTATGCCCCTACATGCAGAATGGTTTTCACTTCCTAACTTATCAAGCCCTCAGACATTCCTTCTCCTCCTCACTGACTACCTGTCTACTGGTTACTTGTTGGCAACTCATTATTTATATTTATAAAGAATTAAAGAGGAGGAGAAACATATCAATTTTGTACTACATTAGCTATTCCAAAGACTGGAGAAAGAAGATGAGATTAAGTATCTGTTATATATGGACGATTCCATCATTGACCAATAGGTGTAATCAAGAATTAGAGACAGAAAGTTTGCCTTCTGTTTCTCACTTCATCTCTGGCTGTCATATAACTCTAAAACAAATCACAAGACCACTAAGTGTGAATGTAACTTATTTTCCTGTAGGCTCACTTGAATTATACTAATTGGGGGGGGTAGCAAACAAGTGCTAGTTGGGCTGCGTTCTGCAGATAATGAAGTAAAAACTGGGAACTTAGAAATATACATGGAACATTATACTAAAAAGCCAATAGCTTCTTAATTTTCTCTATGAACAACAAACATTTAATTCAAATTACCAACACACTTTTGTTCATACAAGATTGTTGTACCTTAAGGTGGCGCTTTGTTGGCTGCATGTATTGTCCTAGAGTCAAACAGTCCACATCTGCCTCACGAAGTGCTACAGGAAAAAAAAGCACATATTACATCAGCAGATGCTAATACAATGTTAAAATTATAGACCTAAATATAACTTTCCTGAATATTTCAGAACAGTGTGAACTTAATGCTAGTCTATAATTCTGATATTGAAGAATAAGACTATAGTTATTAATTCAAAAGCACTTATATACCCAGGCACTAAGGTAAGGAAGGGAGCTTTGGTAGTATAGTGCCTAAGGCATTTGACTGCTAACCAGAAGGTTGATGGTTCAAATCCACCAGCCACTCCTCGGAAGGAAGGTTGGGCAATCTACTCCCATAGTGATACTGCCTCAGAAACCCAAGGAGGGGTCTCTATGAGTTGGGTCTGACTTGAGGGCACATAACAACAAGGTAAGGATTGAAAACAGGGATGATTAAGAGAGTCATGTGGGGTGACAGACACAAGGACAAACACTTCTAATACTACGGAATAAATGCTAAAATAAGCATAGAGGATGTTTTAGGGCAGGAGTCTGTTAGGCAAAAAGGTGAAGTGAACAGTATATACAAAGGTTTAAAACACCCATATAATATAGATCAAATATGCTGCAGTAGGCTTTTAATAATCATACAAGATCTGCTCTCTGCAAACTGTATGTATTATGGTAAAGAGCAGCCTTTAACTATTATTTGAACTTATTATTCTTTGAACCAATAAATTACTCTAAGTAGGCTAAGGACTCTCAGGTAAAAGAAAGACCTTAATGTTTCAAAACTAAAACACCCCAGGCATTACAAAGCAAATGGGCTTATGGGACTGAAGTTCAGCAAAGTCCAATGCACGTGTTATGTGACAATGCTACAAGTAAGCTTTTCTTTAAAGATCTATATTGGTCTTATTCTTCTTTGAATCTTTGGTCCACCAGAGTGCCTGGTATTGGCTGGCTCTCTAAAACTGTCAAATGGCTAACTGAGAAAGGTGAATGAATGAAATCATATTTTCACTTGATTAAAGGGTGCGGAATAAAATGAGATACAATTTTCTTGTCATTCCATTCATATCACTCAAAGAAGTTGTATGAAACCACACCTCTTTTAGTTTTCATGTTGCCTTCACAACCATCTGTTGTATTTTGTTTTTACTGCCACTTACACTGAGACTAAATTGAATAGGGCCTTCAAAATGAGGTTCCTGCTATTACTTAAACAGGAAAGAGTTATTTTGGAGATTTTTTTTACCTTTCATTGTTGCATATACTTGGTCATCATTCTCCCCTAGACCCAACATTATAGATGTTTTAGAAATAACATCAGGCCGAACTTCCTTGGCATGTTTCAGTACACATAAAGACTGGTCGAAATTGGCCCGGGGATCACGAACTTTCCTTGAAAACACCAGGGCTGTTGTCAGCAAAAATAACAAGTTCAACCAAGCACAGTTATACAAGCAACTCAAAAAAACCCAGCAAAGTACATTCTGGACAACATATAACATCATACGGTTCAATAGCAGCATTTGTGCACACTTCTGTTAACTTAGGAAAGAAAAAAGGGCCTTACTGGGCCCCCTAGCTTCCTCTACTTTTAAGTCCTACCAAACTTACGGCAGAGAATAGAAGGGAAGAAATTAGTTTAGGAATTATTAATTGATAGACCAGAATTCAGACGCTGAAGATGAATCAATGTAAGGAGTAATCAAGAGAGGAGGGTAAGAGTGGAAGAAAACCTCGACCCTGAACAAAGGAAAAGCTGCTTAACCTGAACCCACACTTTGGAAGTCTTAAAGTTTCATGTTCATCTCTTTTCTAAATACTTCGCTGCCCTCTACTGGTGAGTATACAAGAATGCCATCTCTTAGGTCAAGAAATGTACGATTCTGGAATTTTCACTGGAAAGGATGTTTCTTAAGTGAAACCAGGGAAAATGGCACCCACTGGTGGTGGGATCATAAGCTATGACAGGCTTTGTGCCAGACTTCAACAGCGGCCAAACCACCATGGCCTAAACGGTTCCAAGACCAAAAAGTTACTGATGTTAAACTAGCATCCATTTGAATTCTAATATATATATATATTTAAATACATTTTTATTGAAATGTAATTTATGTACAGTGGAATACACAATTGAATTTGAATATAGTTTTATTTTAATAAAATAGAATTCCATTTGAATTCTAAAACAGTTTTATTCAATCAGAATGACTTAGGTTTTTATTTTCTTTTTTCACCAGAGACTAATGGACAGGAAAAGAGGAAACAAATTTATGAATTTAAAAATAACCACTAAACTGACACTATAGAAAGCAATTACTTTTATAGGATTTCTCCACTAAATTTGAGCTACTCTTATGAATGTTTATGATTTAGTGAAAATAGTGGTTATTGTTTACCATAACTTTTTCCAAGTTCTATGAAAGAACCATGTATACAAGGTAATAAAAATCACTGCTAAATACAATGAACAA